CATTATAAATAAGTATTTATTTGAAATTTTGGCTTTTCGTAAGGGTTTGGAGTTTTTGGTTTTGAAATAGTAATAGTAATAATAATGATAGGCACTAGTTTACTTTAATAGTATGGGGACACGCACGTGAGCACGCTCGCGTACAAGTACTGAAGCCACGCCTACTGCGCATGGTCTCAGACTAGGTGTTTATGTGTGTGTTGGTGTACGCGAGCGTGCTCGCGTCTTGCGTGTCCTCGAAAGTAAACAAGTGCCTGATAGTATTTATGTATATTGTTATTAATATTATTATTATTGTTATTATTATTATTATTGTTGTTGTGTGAATATAGTTGATTCATATTTATTTATTGTGTATATTTGATAAATTGTAAGTAATATAAGGACAATAATAGTAATAATAATAATAGTAATAATAATAATAATAGTAATTTTAATAATTAACACCTTCTTTTAATGTCTGCTTCTCTTCTAATTCAACGCTGCTTGTGTTGGTTTTGTAGAGTGGGCGTGGTGCTTTTATATTATAGTTAAGGTGATTTAACATAATTAGGTGTATTATTTGCTAATTGTAGTGGATTGGGTTGTTGTTTTGTTCGTTGGGTTGATATTATTTTATTGTTTTTATTATTTATTGTTATTATTTTATTGTTTTTATTATTTATTGTTGTTATTTTTATTATTATTATTGTTTAATGGCAGTATTTATTATTGTTGATAATAGTTATTGGCTTGATTAGCAAGTGATGTCGGTGCGAAGCGTGTGGGCGTGCGGCAGTGGGCGGGGCTTGTGCAAATGAACATTGCATTAAACGGTGGGCGTGGCTAACTGCTAACTCAAACCACGCCCACCGTTGTATGCAGTAAGAAAATACGCTTTGCAACGGCATCACTTGGGCAATAACAACGATAATAAATTTTATAGCAATAATAATAATAATAATGAATATAATAATAATAATAAATAAAATAATAAAAATAATTCAGGGCANTGGAGCTGGCGAATTCAGGTCTGGCATCGACTATAATTCAGGTGTACTGGAATGCGGTACTCAGCTCGTATTACAATCCGGTGGACTCGGTTCGGACTGCGGCCGTACAGGCGAGTTTTAGTATTTATTGTTATTGTTATTATTGTTTATTTTTATTGTTATTGTTTATTGTTATTGTTTATTATTGTTTATTGTTATTAATTAATTATAATTAAAGGTGACCGTGTTGACGCTGAGCCAAGGTCTGGTGACACCCGGCTCGTCGATACCCACCCTGATAGCGATGTCGACGGATCGTATACCGGCGATTCGGAATAAAGTGGAGCTGATGTTAAAGGATATCGATAGTAAATACGCTGGAATGGTGCCGGTGGGTGGTTTTTGTTATTTATTATTGTTATTGTTTTTATTATTTATTATTGTTATTTATTATTTTTATTATTGTTTATTTATTGTTTATTATTATTGTTGATATTGTTATTAAAAATATGCTGAAATTGTTTCAGAGTAAGGCCGTGGCGGGTATTCGGTGCTCGTTTCGTTTGCAGAGGCAGTTGAAACGCGATCAGGATTTGGCATTGAGGGGGATTAGGGCGTGTGATGTATCGGCTGTATCGGGTTATTTTTATTTATTATAATGATTATTTTTATGAAATATTATT